CCGGCTCACGGCGGGCTGCGGCCGCGGAGCTCCGGCGGGGATCAGCGGCTCCGCGCACTGCAGCAGCGCCCGCCGCCGTCAGGTGGGCTGGGCTCCGCCTCCCGCCGCCGCGGTGCGGGGAGGGGGACACGCACACACACACACACACACGGCGGGGCGCTGGGCCCGGCGCCGAGCGGCCTGGTCGGGCCCGGCCCGTCGGGGAGCAGGCCGCAGGCCCCCCTCCTGAGGCGGGGCGGCGGGGGTGGTCAGGCCGAACTACCGTCCCCGGAGACGGCGGGGGAAGGAGCGAGGGGCCACCGCACGGCCCGGTAGGGCGAGGCGCGGCCTGCGGGAGGCCCCAGCGCCGAGATGGCGGCTGGGCGGTGAGGGAAGGCCTTCCCCCGGGCCGCCCTCCTCCCACAGCGCCCGGGTGACGCTGTTTGCCAGCGCTGGCACGGAAATGCGAACAATGGGGATCGTAACGGCGGCGGCTGAAAACCCGCCAACCTCGACCTTTCCAGATCGTGCTTTGAGAAGGGACTGTTGTGTGTTTGTTTGGGCAGGTTTATTTGCTGTATCTCCCATTGGAGATCACCCTGTGGCCCGGCGGGGTGACACGAATGGCCACTGCACCCTGCAGTCCCTTTGCCCTACACCCAACCGGACCAATCCCCTCTGCAAAATACTGTTGCCAAGAATCATTAGCTAAAACAACTTCAGATCAAAATAGCTGTAAGGGAGCCAGTGCGATCGAAACAGATAAGTGGTGACCTTAGGCCTGTGGAGGTGTGGCGCCTGTTCACAGCTTTGTTCCTGGCTGGTTAGTGTAAAGCGAATCCCTTTGCTAATCCCCATCGAAGCCTTTGCATTTCTAACAGTGAGTTAATGATAATTTTTTCTCTTCTTTTAATGTCTATTAATAACCACAGACTGGGGTGCATGTACTATGTGTCATTTTATTAGTTTGATTGGTCTTTCTAGTCTCCATTACTGCATTTGAATAATGAGGGAAAATGGGCTCTCTCTTGTTTATGCATCGTGATCCACGTGACTTCATGGCTTTGAAGTGGGCTGTACTGGCTGATTTCTTGCTATCTTGCTATTTCTTGCTGTTTTTAATGATAAATAAAGCCTGGTTTGCCAAAGTTTTTTCTGGTTCATATGTTTATTGTAGCCAAACAGCATTCTGACATAAGTTTTCTCTTTAGAGGTCCCTTAGGCAATGAAAATCTTCCTCTCTTCACACCGGGAAGAAGTACTGCTGCATGCATATTCTTCCAGCATTAGAAGAGAGGTCATATGACTTTTTTAGCAAATATGTAATTGCTATAAAGCGTAGGCAAAATACCTGCCTGCCTTGAAACTTGACACATCCAGCAGGAAGTTGGGTACAGCCACTTCTAGGGGAAGAATGTGACTGCGAGCAGCAGAGGCAAAGACAGACATAAATAGTTATCAGAAGAGTTATAATTAGCCAACGTATAGGTGGTATTTGAAAGATGAAAATAATTAAAAATTCAAGTGGAGTTGTTGTTAACAGCAGCAGCTTTTTTCCTGAGAGGCCCTCTCTGGTAAATGCTTTTGCAAGCAAGGGTGGTCCCGTGGTATGGGAGCACTTGGAAAGAGTGAGACGGGATAAAAAACTTGTTGGAAACATCTGATGCAGGATTTTATTAGGTGTCTTGAGCAAGGAAACAACGATGTATGTATTTTACACATGCAAACTTCCAGGTCTTGTTTCTGTGATTTCTTCTAGGACTCGATTGGCATCAGTTTACCTGGATTTTTTGTTTTATGCTGCCAACCTGACACCTGCACCTTCCCTGCCAGCAGACACGGCTGAACTGCAGTGTGTCTGGCAGCCTGTCTGTCCCAGCAACTCAAGCCACAGCTTCAGGTACTTGTTTTTCTCTGAAAGGGCTTTGTTCTGCTTCAGGATTTCACTGGCCCGTTCCTGTGAAGGGGAAAGGTGCACCTGCAGCTCAGACTGCTGGGGAGGGGAGCTGCTCTCATTTCCCCACTTGCATTCCCAGAAGATAAATTTCACCTTGTTCAAGCTGGCCTGGGGAGGGTTGTAATCAAAGCCAGGCTCAGACTGCTGGGTTTTGTAGGCCAGCTGGTCAGAAAATGGGCAAAGAGGTGGCTTCTTGGGGTAGAAATCTGGAGAAATGATGTGCCAGATAGTCACACAGCCCCTGTACAACATCCCCAACTCCCTCAAAGATCAACGGTGAGCAGAGAGATGCACAAAGCTGAGGGGACACATTAAGTGTTAAGCTGGACCAAAGTAAAGCTCTTCCTTGAAGCCTCTTGCCTTCTCAAGATATTTCTGTTTGGTGCCAGCCACAAATCTCTATTTGTTAGCTTGCTTAAGTTTCTTTCCTGGGCAAGAAAATAATGAAGAAAATCTGCAGCTCTGGTTCAAGGATTTTATAGGCATCTAAGCCTTATATGGAGACACTTTGCGATATTTCTGTTTGGTGCCAGCCACAAATCTCTTATTTGTTAGCTTGCTTAAGTTTCTTTCCTGGGCAAGAAAATAATGAAGAAAATCTGCAGCTCTGGTTCAAGGATTTTATAGGCATCTAAGCCTTATATGGGGACACTTTGCGTGCCTGGAAGGGATGCAGATGCTGATCTCCGAGTAGGTTTTGGAGATACTGCAATGCAAAAAAAAAACCTTGCGTGCCTGGAAGGGATGCAGATGCTGATCTCTGAGTAGGTTTTGAAGATACTGCAATGCAAAAAAACCCGCCAAAACCCAGTAATTCTTTTATGGGCCAGCATTTGCCATTTCAAGGAGAAGAGAAAGTGGTCAGAGTTTAAATACCTGCTCTGAATAGGTGACAGAACTCATTATCCATCATCTCGACCCCATTGCTGTATGTGCCTTCTCTTTCTCTCTTCCCTCCTCTGTATGTTATCCATTTCTTCTTCTGCCTCCACCGTAAGCTTCGTCCTTCATGCCTCAGCTTCGTGTGTTGCATGTTCCTTGTGTTTGCATATAAGCATGTATAATTCAGGATCTTACACTTAATCTGCAAACCTGATTAACTCTCAACAAATACTGCTAGGAGCTGACTTGCTTCATCATCTGAGCTCTGAAAACGGGGAATGTTTGGAGGTCTTACACTCCCAATGCTTTGTAGGTTTCTCTGGGTGTGTGACCTCCAGTCAGAAGTCCTAGAATTCAATAATAACCTTTCTGTTGCTACCCGTGGCATTAGAAACAGCCTTTAGCTGTGATGCTGTGACAAATACAGGCTAAACAATGCTATTAAATATGCATGATGTGTGTTCTGCCATATTAGATAACAGGGCCACGTTCATCATCTGCTAATGCTGCCAATTCACAGCTTTGCTAATGCAGCCTCCCTCACGATTATGCTTTGGGCAATTTTAGAGACTTTTTGGTTATACTTCACCTTTACTTTCTTCCTTTTCACCTTTTTTATTTTTCTTTGTTACTCGGAAAATGGGGGTCTGCAGCAGAGGCCGAGCAGAGCTCATGTTTCCTGGCTTTCCTGTCGTTCACTAGGAAGCCAAGCCAGCCTGGAAAGCAATTGGAGAAGCTGATAGATATGGCTCTAGTGAAAAGCAGATCCCCAAGTCCCTCCTTCTCTCTGAGGCCAGTGCTGTATGGTTGGAATCTATCACCCTTCCCTTTATACTGCCAGCTCATCCACAGCCTGTGCTCAGTGTACCTTGTCAAAAAGAAATGGAAGAATTACCTCTGTTCTGTTCCCTCAGTGATGGCAGCTCTCAGGGTTCTGTTGGGAGTTCACCTGTCTGAAGCCTTTCTGTTCATTAATGTGACTCCAGCCTGTTACCATTTTGGTTTTGTACCATTACAGTTATGGCAGTTGGCAGAATACCTTCACCTTGCTGTGGATGCAGTTCCAGCAGTAGAAGAGGTGTCTTCTACCACCGTGCTGTGGGAATCTGGGTGTTTTGCCTGACTCGGAGCTAGGTGAGCATGAGTCAGCTCTCATCCAGCAGCCATCTGGCCGTGCAGTGCTACGCTGAGCTCATCAGGCTGCTCTCCGAGAAGGTTTCTTCACTCAGGCAGAACATTTACAGCTCTTTGGCAGTTCAGCCCTGCACCAGCCAGGAGGGAGGTGGGCAAGTGTCCATTTGCATCCCTTGCAACGAGCGACTTGTCTGCATTTTCTTGCTCCACCCAGGAGGAGAATG